CCCAACTTGAGAAGGTCAAATCTGACGCCACTTCCTCGCCCAGCTTGCCCCAAGCCACAGACACTACATCCCACGCTTTGAACCGTCCACTCAGAGCCTATCGCCCGAGGCACAACCTTCACTGCCACCAGATTGCGCAAGATGTGGCGGAAGAAGCGGGACCAAGCGCAGGGTGGCGCTGGCGACCAGTCGTTTTCCAGCAGCTTTCCAGGCCTCCCAGGTAGCCCTGTCAGCCCTGCAGTCCCACCGCACCGGCAGCGCCAAAGGAGATCACAAGTACAAAGCAAAGGTCCCGGCCTGTGGTCGCGCTTCGCGCCTTGCTCACTTTCGCCCGCAGCAGCTTGACCAAGACACATTTGTGTGGCCCTGAGGAGGGACCATCGCTGGGCAGCAGCGCCCCAGCTGTCTGGCCTAGCAGTTCTGGAGAAGAGAGCCCTCAGGAGAGCCCACATGTCACGGCTCGCCGTACTTGAGGGGCGACTCGGTGCGGGGGAGCTTCGGTAGGTCTCACGCTCTTGCTCTGAGGATTGATGTAACTCGCTTGGACTCTCGGTACGATGAGCACTGAGTGAAGCTACGATTCCGACGAGGAGAAGGAGAAGAGAGAGAGCTACGAAGAGGGCGCGCTTTTATAGTCTTTGGTGTGGAAGGTACGAGAACAAACTAGAGAGCGACAGAACGTGAGAGGGAGACGATGGAAGGGCAGAGAAAGAGGCAAGACGAGACGAGAGAAGGACGGAGAGGGAAGGAGGAGAGGAGGTTCTGGATCACGCTCGAAGCTCCACCGTTACACCACAGGCAGTCAGACCAGGCGCTGGCTCCTGTTCCTGAACCACCGCTGGCTGCAAAAAGCAAGTTTGCCGTTGCCGACAGCAAAAGTCGAGCGCCGCCGGGCTCGGCGGACGCTCGCGGAAACTTGCCTCCAGGGTGGATCGAACACCCGACCTCAGCATCGACTTCCGTACGAGTGCTGCGCACTGCCACTGTGCTATAGAGGCTTTGTTGGAAGTCTGGCCAAGTTTGCTCCCAATGTACATGCCCCGCTTTAGCTCGCCCACTGTTGCCCTTGACCACTCCAGGTAGCTGAAGTGAGGGAGAGAGTGCGGCAAGTTGCGCGGAGCACAAGCTCCGCAAGGCGGACGTGCGCACAGATCAGGGCGGAGTGGCGCGTGCGAGCAAGCTGGCGAGGTCCAGCCATGCAGCGCAGGTGCAGCCGGAGCTGCATTGCAGTGTGCAAAACAAAGAGCAAAAAGGCAGGGCATCCCGCCGGTGGTGCTTGCGATGTGTCCCGCCCTCACGGCGGGTCCGCGGCAAAAATGCATTGGCCGGGAATCGAACCCGGGGCTAGGCAAATCAGCTGACGCTGGCAATGCCCAATTTTGCCACTAAACCACCAATGCGTTGTGCGGGGTCCGGCGGCCAGCAGCAATCCCAGTTTCTCTGCGTTGCGCCCCGGACTTCTGTTGGTGCAAAGAGCAGCCAAGACCGCAGGTAAAGCTGTGTTGGCAGGAAGCCTTTGCACTAACTGATATAAGGCACTGGGTCCAGCTGCATCACCTCTGAGCAAAGTCTCTTGCTTGGCCTTGCTCCTTGCTAAAGCAAACAGCTTGCTCTCAAGCTTGTCTGCAGAGCCAGGCTGAACAAAATCAGAGCAAGATTAGCAACTTGAGTACTGTTGCAGCAGACAGGCAAAAAAGTACCAGCAGCGAACCGGGTTTGAACCGGTGACCTGACGATGTGAGCGGGGCTGCAGTCGACCGCTCTGCCACTGAGCTATCGCTGCACGTGCGTTGGAACGGCCACAAGTTGCATATATATTCCTAACCAGTTTGTGGTGCCGGACTGGGCTCATGCCCGGCGCGTCAAGGTGCAGCCAGGTCCAAGGCAAGGCAGAGAGCAGATCTGAGCACAGCAGAGCCTGGTAAACCAGTCCTGGTACATTGGTAGGTCTGAGGCTACTGCAGGTTTGTGAGTGGGGACAGGTCAGAGACGGCTGTAATCCCAACTGAGAGCGACTGGGCAGGATTGAAACGCAGGCTTGTCCACCTGTGCAGACTATGGGGGCACCACTGAGGATTGTCCTCCCTCAACCACACAGCGCCAAGCATGAGACAGAAAGAGAGGTTGCAGAGAGAGTGGCTGCAGGAGAGAAACAGGGACAGCTATCTAGGCGGAGAGGAGGAGCGGTGTGCCCGGAGGGCTGAGGCTGAGGCCGGGCGGGCCGCTTCTTCTTTTTTTCTCTGCGTAGCTCTCTCTCTCTCTGCAACCTATCTCTCCCTCTCTTGCTGAGGTCTTGTGAGAGCGTCGCTGCAGCTCCTGTCCTCCCTGCAATACCGCTGACGTGACTTCTTCCAGCCCGCCAGGGGGCACAAGCCTGAGGCACAGCAGGTCCGAGGCCCCCACACCTGGATCTTGTAACTGACTTGCCCTGAAACTCTCCAGCGCCATCCTTCACCCTCTCAAGTAGCTTCCACCAACTGGACAAGGCCCTGCCAGTAGGTCTTTCCGTAACCCAAATCCTAAGCGGACCTAATGCACGGCAGGTCCGAGGCCCCCACACCTGGATCTTGTAACTGACTTGCCCTGAAACTCTCCAGCGCCATCCTTTGCGCTCTCAAGTACCTTCCACCAACTGGACAAGCCCCTTCCAGTAGAACTTTCTGTCACCCAAATCTCAAGGGGACCTAATGCACGGCAGGTCCGAGGCCCCCACACCTGGATCTTGTAACTGACTTGCCCTGAAACTCTCCAGCGCCATCCTTTGCGCTCTCAAGTACCTTCCACCAACTGGACAAGCCCCTTCCAGTAGAACTTTCTGTCACCCAAATCTCAAGGGGACCTAATGCACGGCAGGTCCGAGGCCCCTACACCTGGATCTTGTAACTGACTTGCCCTGAAACTCTCCAGCGCCATCCTTCACCCTCTCAAGTAGCTTCCACCAACTGGACAAGGCCCTGCCAGTAGGTCTTTCCGTAACCCAAATCCTAAGCGGACCTAATGCACGGCAGGTCCGAGGCCCCCACACCTGGATCTTGTAACTGACTTGCCCTGAAACTCTCCAGCGCCATCCTTTGCGCTCTCAAGTAGCTTCCACCAACTGGACAAGCCCCTGCCAGTAGAACTTTCTGTCACCCAAATCCTAAGCGGACCTAATGCACGGCAGGTCCGAGGCCCCCACACCTGGATCTTGTAACTGACTTGCCCTGAAACTCTCCAGCGCCATCCTTTGCGCTCTCAAGTACCTTCCACCAACTGGACAAGCCCCTTCCAGTAGAACTTTCTGTCACCCAAATCTCAAGGGGACCTAATGCACGGCAGGTCCGAGGCCCCCACACCTGGATCTTGTAACTGACTTGCCCTGAAACTCTCCAGCGCCATCCTTCACCCTCTCAAGTACATTCCACCAACTGGACAAGCCCCTGCCAGTAGAACTTTCTGTAACCCAAATCCTAAGCGGACCTAATGCACAGCAGGTCCGAGGCCCCCACACCTGGATCTTGTAACTGACTTGCCCTGAAACTCTCCAGCGCCATCCTTCACCCTCTCAAGTAGCTTCCACCAACTGGACAAGCTCCTGCCAGTAGATCTTTCCGTAACCCAAATTCTAAGCGGACCTAATGCACGGCAGGTCCGAGGCCCCCACACCTGGATCTTGTAACTGACTTGCCCTGAAACTCTCCAGCGCCATCCTTCACCCTCTCAAGTACCTTCCACCAACTGGACGAGCCCCTGCCAGTAGATCTTTCTGTCACCCAAATCCTAAGCGGACCTAGTGCACGGCAGGTCCGAGGCCCCCACACCTGGATCTTGTAACTGACTTGCCCTGAAACTCTCCAGCGCCATCCTTCACCCTCTCAAGTACCTTCCACCAACTGGACGAGCCCCTGCCAGTAGATCTTTCTGTCACCCAAATCCTAAGCGGACCTAGTGCACGGCAGGTCCGAGGCCCCCACACCTGGATCTTGTAACTGACTTGCCCTGAAACTCTCCAGCGCCATCCTTCACCCTCTCAAGTACCTTCCACCAACTGGACGAGCCCCTGCCAGTAGATCTTTCTGTCACCCAAATCCTAAGCGGACCTAGTGCACGGCAGGTCCGAGGCCCCCACACCTGGATCTTGTAACTGACTTGCCCTGAAACTCTCCAGCGCCATCCTTCACCCTCTCAAGTACCTTCCACCAACTGGACAAGCCCCTGCCAGTAGGCTTTCCGTAACCCAAATCCTAAGCGGACCTAAGGCCCCAAATCAGTGACCTGCCCTGTAACTCTACAACCCTAACCTTCACCATGTGAAGCATCTTGCCCCACCTGGACCGGCCCTGCGGGGCATGCTCCCTCATTTCCAGGCTCAAGACCCTGACAGGAGGCTAGAGTCGAGATGGCTGAGCCAGGTACGCATGACTTTTGCTCTGGGACACTAGCCAGGAAAGGGACCATGCAACTCAGAAACGGCATAGGCCAAAGCAGGACCCCGGAGCACAAGAGAGAGAGAGAGAGAGAGAGAGAGAGCCCAGCTACGCAAGGGGAGCTGGAGCGGCCTGTCGGCCTCAGCCACCGGCTGTGGCCTTGGCTTTCCAGGCGAAGTGGTCCTGGGCACACTGGGCAGGTCAAGGCCTGGGCAAAACAAAGCACTCGCAGAAGGTGATCCCGAGAGAGTACAACATGGTTCCGGCGTTCCGTCCAAGCTACAACTGATTCAGTCCTCCTCCTCCTCACCTGGACTGTCCACGCGCTGCTTCTTGCGACTCTTGGTCATCGGCGCAGGCAAGTCCTCGTCCTCATCCTCCTGACCCGCTGCCGGGTCCCGCCCCTCCTGAAAGTCCCCATCCTCCTCGCTGTCCTCCGCCTCGTCCTCGTCCTCATCGGCGTCGGCGCGGCGCTTCTTCTTCTGCTGCTGCGCGGCAGGAGCGGCGGCAGGAGCGGCAGCGGCGGACTTGGCACGCGCCGGACCGCGGTCGGCAGGGTTGGCCTCCTCGCCTGGTGGGGAAGGGCAGGTCAGCTTGCTCAGGAGAGAAGGTGGACGCCAAGGGACGTACAGGCGTCAATCCAGGCGCTGTAGAGGTCGACTGGTTCCGAGAGGTCTGCAGAGGAGAACGTCGAGGAAGGGATGCGAGCGAGGAGTACGGCGGGTGGAGGCGAGGGGGGAAAGGCAGACGGCAACGGCGTGGGCGAAGGTGGGCGCAAGATTGGTCAGCAATTCGAGCGCGAACGGACCGCCCAGATCTGGACCGGGAGGAAGCGCAGGACGCACGAGTTATGTCGGTCTGCGGAGGAGGCGAGGGGCAGAAGTCAGGTCGGCATTTGCGGTCGCTGGATACAGGACGAGAGCCACGCACCTGGAAGCTCTGGCCGCAGTCCTTGCAGTCGAGCCGGCCGACCTTGAGCTTGTTGTCGCTGCGAGGCAAGGGACGAGGCGAGGTCAGCCGGGGGTGCACATCGATTCGACCGCACGCGGAGCTGCGCTCGAGTGGACGTACAGCTTGCAGGTGACAGAGCCCTGGTGGGCGCAGAACACGCAGCGGAACGACTTGTCTGTGAGAGGAGGAGAGCCCGGCGTCAGCGGGGGACGATGAGGACTTTGGAGGGACGTGGAGAAACGAGGACGCACCGAGGACCTGCTTGACGCGCGTCTGCGGCTTCTTGCTAGACTTGCGCTTGCCCATGGTCGCGAGTCGGGGCCTGGCAGGCGGTGTGATGCCGAGAGCCTCACGAGCGCAGAGTTCGAGGACGCGCGACCCAACTCGAAGTCGACGTCTCGCGATTTTCGCTAGCCCGCATGGCCCCAGGAGCAGCTCAGCAGAGTCCTGCTACTCTACTGAGGTTCTCATGAGAGAGTGCGCTGCTCCAAACTCCTGCCACGACGCGTGGACACGGGGGCGGCGGGACCGCGGCTTGAGCAGCTTGACCGCGGCCGCTTCGGCTCGACCTCGGTCGCGTCCCCAACTCCTCTCTCCTCTCCTTCCACCGCCTTTTCCTACTGCACGCCATGATGTCGCTCCTCCCTACTTCGCGCCGCTTTGCCGGTCGTGTGCGCCTGCCTCCCTCTTTCCCCACTCGTTCGCCCTCGACTTACTGACGTTCCCCCGCCCGGTCACAGCTCACTCTCGCGACCCGCTCCCTGTCGACCACGGCTGCGCGATTCGACGTCAAGAAGTCCGTGTCCAAGATCTATGGCTCGGCCGACGAGGCCGTCAAGGACGTCCAGGGCGGCTCGATCGTGCTTTCCGGAGGTGCGTCCTGCGCGGCCGCGGCCCCCTCTCTCCCTCCTCCCGTCCATCGTGCCGGCACGCGAGCCGTCGTGATCTCCCCCTCCTCGTCATTTGTGCGACACGAGCTGGTCGCCGTGCGGCGGGCGAGACGTGGCGGCCTTGCGAGCCTTTCTCCACCGGCGACCGCTCAGAGGGTGCTCGTGGCCGGCATCCGCTCTGCGGAACTGAGTGCAGCCTTGCTCGTCGTCGAGCTTGACTGCAGCCAGCCCTGGCGGCATGCGCGGGAGCAGCGGTACTCAATCTGTTAACAAGGCGCTGACCCTCGTTTACCTCCCCTCGCGCAGGATTCGGATTGTGCGGCACCGCAGGTGCGCTCCCTCCCTCTCGCAGCGGCCACTAATCTCGGAGCATCGTTCTGATGCCATGTCGTCCGCAGACACGCTCATCGGCGCGCTCGCCAAGCGGCCCGAGGTCAAGGACCTCACCTGCGTCTCGAACAACGCCGGCGTCGGCAAGTTCGGTCTCGGTGCGCTGCCTCTTCCTCCCATCCGTCATCGCAGAGTGGTCGTGCTCACGCTCGTGCGTCGACGCAGGTGCGCTGCTGCACTCGGGCCAGATCTCGAAGATGATCTCGTCGTACCTCGGCGCGAACAAGGTGCGCTCGACCTCTCTCTGTCGCCCATGCCCTCGCGCCTCGCGTACTGACTGTCCTCCTCGTCATGCAGCACTTCGAGGGCCTGTACCTCAACGGCGAGATCTCGCTCGAGCTCACGCCGCAAGGCACGCTTGCCGAGCGGTGCCGCGCCGGCGGTGCGGGCATCCCGGCGTTCTACACGCCGTCTGGGTACGGCACGGCGGTCCAGACGGGCGAGATCCCGATCCGGTATAAGAAGGGCGGCAAGGAGGTCGAGATTGCGGGCAAGCCCCGCGAGGTGCGCGAGTTCGGCGGCAAGGGCTACATCATGGAGGAGGCGATCAAGGGCGACTACGCCCTCATCAAGGTGTGGAAGGCCGACGAGTACGGCAACTGCGTCTTCCGGTGCGCCCCCTCCCTTCCCCTTCAACCCTCGTAAGCGAGTCGACTGACCTCGTCCCGTCCTCCTCTTCCCCTCGTTCAGCTACGCCGCGCAGAACTTCTCGGGCGCGATGGCTCGCTCGGCCAAGATGACCATCGTCGAGGCCGAGGAGATCGTCCCTGTCGGCTCCATTGACCCGAACGAGGTCCACCTTCCCGGCATCTTGTACGCTTCCCTCTTCCTCCCTCTCTCTCGATCCATCTGTTGCGCCACAGCCTGACCTCCCTCCCCTCGCAGCGTCAACCGCGTCGTCCAGTCGACGGTCCCGAAGCGGGCCGAGGTCGAGGTCCTGCGCGAGGAAAAGGGCTCGTCGCCGTCGGTTGGCGCCATGGGCAAGGACGAGGCGCGCCTGCGCCGCGAGCGCATCGTCAAGCGTGCCGCCAAGGAGCTCAAGGAGGGCATGTACGTCAACCTCGGCATCGGCATGCCCATGCTCGCGCCGTCGTTCCTCGAGCCGGGCACCGTCATCCACATGCAGTCGGAGAACGGCATCCTCGGTGCGCCCGCCTCTTTCGCGCTCTCTGCCCTCCCTCGAGACCGCCTGACTAACTCCTCCACGTTGCGCAGGCATGGGCCCGTACCCGACCAAGTCCGAGGTCGACCCGGACATCGTCAACGCCGGCAAGGAGACGGTGACGCTCTTGCCCGGCGCGTCCACGTTCGACTCGTGCGAGTCGTTCTCGATGATCCGCGGCGGCCACGTCGACGTGTCGATGCTCGGCGCGATGCAGGTCTCGGCGTCGGGCGACCTCGCCAACTACATGATCCCGGGCAAGATGGTCAAGGGCATGGGCGGCGCGATGGACCTCGTGTCGAACCCGGACGCGACCAAGGTCGTCGTCGTCATGGACCACGTCGCCAAGGGCGGCAAGCACAAGATCCTCGACGAGTGCTCGCTCCCCCTCACCGGCGTCAACTGCATCTCGACCATCATCACGGACCGTGCGCTCTCCTCCCTCCCTTCTTCTCTCGCCTCCTCTCGAGCGCCTCACTGACTCGTCTCGTCACACAGTCTGCGTGTTCCAGGTCGACCGGGCAGCCAAGAAGCTCATCCTGACCGAGCTCGCGGCCGGCGTCACCGAGGAGGACGTGCGCAAGGCGACGGGCGCCAAGTACGAGACGTCGCCCAACCTCATCGTGCGTCCCCTCCCTCTGTCGTGCTGTGGGTCGCTCTCGAGGGCAAGTGCTGACTCTGTGCCCCTCTGCAGACCATGGACGAGTAAAGCAGGAGTCGAAGGACTGTTGTAGAGCAGGTTTCCCGGGCGCTCTGTCCCTTGTCACATTTGTCATCACAACCTCGTTCTGTGCCAGTCGTTCGCTCCCAGCATGTCGAGATGGCGAGAAAGAGAGAGCGATGTCGAGGCAGCAATCGCTCGCTTTGTAGTGTGGCAGTCTCCCAACTCGCTGCCGTCGCTCTCGCTCGCGAGCCCTCGAAGGAGAAGGGAGGGAAACGGGTTCTTTGCAGGGCAAGGGCGAACGGCTATGATCGCTCGAGGATGGGAGGGGGTAGGCAGAGCTGGAGTGGGAGAGGAGAGGGGGAGCCAGGGAAGAGTTGCTCGAGCGTGCCGCCGCCACGGCGAGCACGAGGCGTCCTCGAGGGCGTCAAGGGGATGGGAAAGGGGGAGGGGAGGGAGCTGGACTGGAGGAAGGGGAGGAGAAAGGGAGAAGAAAGGGGACCGCGAGAGAGGACAAGGCGAGGAGGGAGGGAGGGGACCGGTCGAGCTAGACCCGGCCGTGCTGGCCGCCCATCTGCCGGTACATGCCCGGGTGCTGCTGCTGCTGCTGCTGCTGCTGCTGCTGCTGTTGCTGCTGGTGCGCCTGCTGCTGCTGCTGAAGGTCGAACGGCAGCCTCATGCCGGGCGGGAACGGCGACTGCTGCTGCTGCTGGCCGTACGGCTGGCCCATCGACGGCGGCGGCGGCAGCGGCGCGTTGGCCGGCGCCGACGCGAGGCGCGCGTTGAGGATGGCCGGGTCCGAGAAGAACGGGTGCGGCTCCTGGCTCGGCGCCTGCATCGGCTGCTGATGCTGCTGCTGGTGCTGCTGGTGCTGCTTGGGCGCGCTCGCCTGCGCCGCCGCGATGAGCGCGAGCAGGTCCTCCTTGGCGACCGTGCTGCTGCTCGACGACGCGCCGCCGGCACGAGGCGCCGGCGGCGGCAGCGGGAACGACGCGGCAGGGATGGGCGCGCCGCGGCCCTGCATGAGCCCAGGCGGCGGCGGCAAGGCCGAGTTGGCGACGCCGTTGATGCCGCCGAGGCCCGGCGGCGGCGGGGCGTAGCCGTGCGGGAGCGTCGCGCGCGCGCGCGGCGACAGCTGGGGCGACGACGAGGCCGACACGCTCGGCGACGCGAGCGAGCGCAGGACGCCCGGCGGGAACGCGGGCGCCATGGCGGGCGTGCCGCCGCTCGCAGCCCAGTCGGGCGGCGCGGCGCCGTTGTAGCTGCCGGCGCGCGGCGGGAGGCCGATGCCGGGCGGCGCGAACGGCGCGGCGGGCGACGTCAGGCCGTTGGCCATTCCGTCGCGCAGGGCGGCGAGCGACAGGCTCGGTCCGGCCGACGACGACGAGCGGCGCGCGAACCCGAAGCGCGAGCTGCGCCGCGACAGGTCCTCGGCGGTCGAGGGCGGCGACGGCGACTCGGAGCGCAAGTCGGCCGACGAGCCCGAGAAGGCGTGCTCGGCGAACGGGTCGAACGAGCCCATGTACGACGAGGCCGAAGCCGACGCCGACGAGGGCGTCTCTGCCGGCTGGGCGAGGTTGCCAAAGTCGCGGAACGGCGTCGGCTCGTCGGCCTGCTGCGCCGGCGGCGCTGCGCGCCCCTTGCCCTTGACGTCGAGGTTGAAGCTGAAGGCGCTCTCGCCGCCAAACTCGAGGTCGGGGAACGACGGGAACGACGGCACGTCGAATGCCGGCGCGCCGAACCCGCCGTTGGCGTACTGGGCCGAGAGCGCGGCGAACGGGTCGAACGGCGTGGGCGCGACGGGCAAGGGCACGGGCGGCGGCGAGGCCGAGCGGGGCGACGGCGAGCGCGACGTCGACGCGACAGGCTCGTCCGGCGGCGCGAGGTCGTGCTCGAACGCCTCGTCCTCCTTGAGCTCGACGGACGGCGTCTGCGGCGCCGAGGTCGACGGCGACGCGAGGGCGGCGGCAGCGGCGGCGGCCGCAGCTGCGCTCGAGGTCGATGCCGAGGTCGAGGCCGAGCCCGAACCCGAGCCCGAGGCGGACGACGACGACGCGGCGGCAGTCGCTGTGGCGGCAGCGGCTGCAGCGGCGGCGGCGGCGGCGGCCTGCTTGGCGCGGGACGACGGGCGAGCTGGGAGCGGGTGGGTCTGGGGTTTCGGGACCGACATGCGGGGCGGGGCAGGTTTCGGGAGCGTGGCCGAGAGGGGAGGGAGGTGGGGGTTGAGGATGATGGGAGTCGTCTGCTGCGGTGGCCCGTTCTCGCTCGTTCCCGCAGGTGAGGCCGGGCGCGACAACTCTGGAGACCGTGCGACGCCGCTCGCTCATGCGTGCCGCCCCCACGGGCTTGACCCACGGCCTGGCGAGGCCCATCGTGAAGGCTCCGTGCGGTGAGGGGAACGGAG